ATGAAGAAATGGTAGAAACCTAAAAGAGATGATTTGGAAAGATATATGATGTGATTAAATGGAGAATATAATGAGGTAATTCTTGAAAAATGGTATAACCAAGTGATGAGTACAAGGATGAATTGGTCGATATGACTTGTAAGTTATAATTGAATGATGAGAACAATCAGTGGACAAAGTTTGTTTTGGAATGGTTAATGCTGAGACACCTATGAGTAATGACCCAGTGATGGTGGATAAAACTTGTTTTGAAATTTGTTAGTGCTGAGAAATTCATTGAATGATGGTCAAGTGATGATCGATTGATGAAGCTTATTCCAAAGTATTGAAAAACTGAACAAGGAAGAATGTGAGTGGAAAAGATAATTAAGAGCTACACTGGTTCGATCTTAGAAGAGTAGTGTAATTGGATCTTTGAAGAATCAAAAGGCTTGATGCCCGAGAAAAAAGCTTGAGAAACTTGAGTACCATACATTGAATAGGAATTAATTGGCCAACATTTGCATAGCATGCATTGAAATTCATATGCATTGCATAGCATACACTACTTTCAAGAAAATATAGTGTATAAATTCAAGAAGCAGGGGTGTTCCAAGATCTCACATAGAGAAAACAGATATGAAGATATTTTGCAAATTTGAGAAGAAACTTGTCAGGTAAGTTCCTAATCCTTGAAATAGGATGTCTTTTGGTATCAGGGTTGATTTATAAGACCTTGTGGCATAATCTCCTGAAATTCCTTCAAACACAACTTTCAACTCTTTTGTACATGATTGTTAAAAAGTAATTTACTTTCTTAAAGTCGTGGTGCCTCTGTTTAGAGGAGTAATTTACTTTTCCAAAGTCGTGGTGCCTCTGTTTGGAGGAGCAATTTACTTTCTCAAAGTCATGGTGCCTCTATTTAGAGGAGCAATTTACTTTCTAAAAGTCGTGGTGCCTCTATTTAGAGGAGCAATTTACTTTCTAAAGTCGTGGTGCCTCTGTTTAGAGGAGCAATTTACTTTCTCAAAGTCATGGTGCCTCTGTTTAGAGGAGCAATTTACTTTCCCAAAGTCGTGGTGCCTCTGTTTAGAGGAGCAATTTACTTTCAAAGTCATGGTTCCTCTGTTTAGAGGAGCAATTTACTTTTCAAAGTCGTGGTGCCTCTGTTTAGAGGAGCAATTTACTTTCCCAAAGTCGTGGTGCCTCTATTTAGAGGAGCAATTTATTTTTTTTAAAGTTGTTGAGCCTCTGATTAGAGGAGCCATTTATGTTTCTCAAAGTCATTGAGCCTCTACCTAGAGGAGCTTTGATCAAAAATAAAAAAAATAAAAAATAAAAAAGTGAAAAGGTCGAGTTGAGTCTTGATTGGGTGTTTACGTCTTTGCGCAATTTCTGTTTCACAAAAAATGTGCAAAGAGGGGCAGCTGTAGACACCCAATTTGGTCCAGGCCCGGATCAATTAGGCCTGGTCAAAATGGGTAAGTCTATATATTTTTTTTCTTCATTTTATTTTTATTTTTATTTTTTGTATTTTACATTTTTATTTTATTTTTATTATTATTATTTTATATATGTATATATATATATTTTTCTATCTTAGGTATTTATGTATTTATTAATATGTATATATCTTTATTATTATTTTTTTCTCTTTTTCTTTTTTTTCCTGTTAATATTTATGTAATTATCTGTTATTTAATTTTAATTTATCTGTTAATTTTTTTTATTTATCTGATTTATTTTCGTTTGATTTTTCTTTTATTTTTTTGATTTATCTGGCTGGAAATTGGATTGGGATTCAATCAGAAGAGTCCATGTTGGATTCGATGATTGAATCCCGATCCAAAGAGGAATTGAGATTGATCAAAAATTCTTCTGATCAATCCCTATAAAAGGGACCATCTGGAACAGAACAGGGGACAGAAGAAAAACAGTAAGCAAAAGCTACTGATTGAGAGAAAAAAGATGGATAGAAAATTATAAAAGGCTAAGAAAAGGTTTAGAAGTGTTCTAAGAATTAGCAGAAATTTTTTAGAGATTTTTGGAGATTTTTTTTCTAGAAATTTTTGGAAAATTTCTAGATTTCGATGATTTTTTCGGTGAAGGTTGAGTTTTTCGACGACAATTTTGGCCAACTTTGAAGTTTTCGGCCAGCTGTCCAGTTTTCGGTAAGAAACCCAGAAATCGACCAACTTTTCGACGAACTACCGACGAAAAATCTAGATTTTGATGAAATTTTTCAGAATCCGGTGAACATTCAACCGGAGTTCTTCGATCGTTTTAGAGAGAAACGAGAGAAAAAAAAAGAAGAGAGAGAGAGGGGAAAAGGTTTCTACCGAAAAACAGAGGAAAGAACCTTATATACCCTCTCAAAACGACGTTGTTTTTGCCTTAAGTGACCTAGAGGATCCGCGCGTTTTACCGAGATCCGACCCGACCCGAGCGTTGACTAGCTTCTTGACCCGCGCGTGTCTTCCCCCCTCTGAACAGATAGCAGAGTCGAGCCGAGGTCCCAAGCCGCTTCTCCGAGCCGTTTCTCTTCCTTGAGCCAAGCCGCTCCAGGTTTTTTTTTTTGAATTTATTTATTTATTTGTTTATTTTTTTTATTTATTAGATTAGGTTTATTTAATATTCTTTTTATCTTTATTTTATTTTTATTTTTGTTTTACTTTTCTTTATTTTTTTATTTTTATTTATTTTCACTTTTATTTTGTTTTATTATTCTATTTTTTAAATAAAAATAAAAAAAATATTTTTGAGAAAAAGTTGAAAGTATCAATTTTTCTTAAAAATAAATTTCAAAAAAGGTTTTTGAGGAAAAGTTGAAAGTATCAATTTTTCTTTAAAATAAAATTTCAAAAAAAGGTTTTTGAAGAAAAGTTAAAAGTATCAATTTTCCTTGAAAAATCAAAATTTTCAAAAAATATTTTTAAGAAAAAGTTGAAAGTATCAATTTTTCTTTAAAATAAAATTTCAAAAAAAGGTTTTTGAGGAAAAGTTGAAGTATCAATTTTCCTTGAAAATCAAAGTTTTCAAAAAATATTTTTGAAAAAAAGTTGAAAGTATCAATTTTCTCTACATAAAAACAATCATTCTTTTCTTTCTTTTTATTTTTTTTTAAATGTTAAATAATCCGACGATGGAGCCTCTGCAAGTGAAACAGTAGTTTTCTTGCATACTCTTGAGGTGAGGGGATTTTCTCAATTTTCTGCTAAAAGTATTAGAGTCAATTGAGAATAATTTTCAATAATTAATTACTTGGTAAAATTTTAAGGCTCATTGGATAATATAAATTTAAGTTGGTACCATCTTTTCATGGGCGTTGTGAGGGTGCTATAACCTTTCTCACACGTAACCAAACTCTCCGAACCCTATTTTGGTTAGTAGATCTAAACCTATTATTTTAGAGACTCTTAAACTTAGGTGTTCCCTAAAAGAACAGATTTTTTAGGTGACTAATCGCACCTAAATAAAAAAGATTGATGGTGACTGTCTTAAGTCAATGTCTAACGATAAATCTCTAACGCTAGACATCATGACAATAAGAGTGAAGTTGACTTGTCTGATGCATTCAAGGATGGTGGGTACAATGTTGCAAAGTGCATGAGAGCTGTGGCTGAGCCATTGCTTGCCAGCCACTTTGGTGAAGCAATCATTGATGAGGAGCTCCGGAGGTACAGAGAAATCGTTGCTGATCGCATGTCCAAGGAGAAGACTGAGTTTCTCAATGTGATTATTTCCCTTATAAAAGGTTGATTATCTTCACCAGCTAATTCTCAAAATAAAATGGTACCCAATACATCTATATATATATATATATATATATATCACCTTTTATAGATGTTGCCAGGGTCAAAGTATTTATTGTATTCTATACAAATATTACTGTATTTTATGCATCTTTGAGTATGAATAAATAAAAATTAATCCTTCATTAATTTCCTGAATTTTCCAGTTTATTTCCTACTAATTTCCCCTGTAATTAATAGTATTGGCTGAGAAATATCAGAATGAGGACAGTAGCTCAGTTTCTAGCTGCTATTGCTACTACTAAACTATCACTGATTCATTTCTTTTGTTTCTTTTTTTTTTTTTGAGGTAATTAATATTCTATCATTAATTTCATGATTTCAATCTGAGTTTTGTGATTATAATTGAACCTCATCAAAATTTCATGGTAAATCCTACAGAGCCGACTAAATGAGATGAGAATTCAATTATGTATGCCCTTTAGCATACATATGTCCTAATCATGCTCTTGAAAGGCGTCAACTTACTTTTTAATAATAAAAACATGGATCATTAATGAATGAAAATGAATTTACATAAAAAAGACGGCAATAGGACGAGTTTTTCTGGACCTGACTCTTGAATATTAATATATAATTTTAATATTAAAATATTATTTTTATTTTATTCGTATATTTATAAATAATAATTGACTCGATTTAAATTAATATAATTAATTTAATTTAATATAACATTTTATAAAATATTTTTAAATATAAATTAAAATTTAATTATATATAAATATAATATTTTTATTAAATTAATTTTAAATGAAAATATTAAATATTAATTTTATTAATATAATATATATAAATAAAAATTTTAATAAATAAAAAATATTTTTTGTATATATCCGGATAAGGTGTAAGTGGTGCATCCTAAGATTCCACTAAGATATGAATTTCGCTTTAGAAAAAAAAAAGTCAATCAACTTTCATTTCAAAAAAATTACAAACCTATCAAATCTTTATAGATAAGAATTTGTCGAATTATTTTATCATCTTAATTTAAACATTTAATAATCTACAAATAATATAAAGTAAAAAAAAAGTATTGTTATTTTTTAAATAAAATTAATTACATAGTCTATATATATATATTTATATATAGGGCAACTTAACGTTATCACTGACAAATTATGTAATATTATGGTATCTACTGTGCTAATACCATTATTTTTCTCTTAAAAGTTGAATACAAATCCAATACTATGATTTTCCTGTAAAGGTTGGATAGCAACCAAACACTAGAGAAATTCCAGGCATTGGGATTTCCCTTTTTTTCCTTCCTTCACGGATAGCGGAAAAAAATATGTAACGAAGACTTTCGACTGGAAGTAAAACTGTAAAATTGCTTGATTTGATTTCTTATGTATATTTAGATAATTGTTAGGTCTCTGTCTCTACATTCTAGCGGGTGCCAATAATTAATTATATTTCTTTTAACAAGAGTGGTGCGCGGAGAATCCACTGGGAGCACCGCAAAATGGAAGTCGGTAAAGAAACTGCTGCTGTAAATGCTCTTTGCATGAATGGGGGAGATAAAGAAATTAGTTATGCCAATAATTCTCTCTTCCAGGTTTCTTCTTTTCTTGAGTAGATTGTAGTTCATTGTTTCTTATCTAATGTTTTTAATTTTTCCCTCTTTATTGGCTATATTCTTTCAGAAAACAGTGATTGTGAAGACGAGGAGAGTCCTAGAAGATACTATCAAAGACCTGTTGAGCAATGTTTTTCCAACTTGTGTTAAGGTGGCAGACTTTGGTTGTTCTTCAGGGCCCAACACCTTCTTAACAATCTCTGAAATTGTTGACACTGTTCACGAGATTTGCCGACAAGCACAGTTGAAATCCCCCGAGTTTCAAGTGTTTCTAAATGATCTGCCAGGAAATGACTTCAATGCCATTTTCAGGTCAGTCTCCCTTAATCCCGATGAAGCAGGATTGGATCCCAAATTCTCAATACAACAATTAGAAAATAAATTTTGTTTGATCAACCGTATTTGAAATCACCTTTCCAATCAGGTCTGTTCCTGCTTTCCTTGATGAACTTAAGAGAGAAAAGGGAGATCTCTTTGGACATTGTACAATATCAGGAGTACCAGGATCCTTTTATGGAAGACTTTTTCCAAGTAGAAGTCTACATCTTATACATTCTTCAAACAGTGTTCACTGGCTATCAAAGGTTTGCACCTTTTCCATGAATTAAGAATTCGGAAAACTTCCTCTTTTTTTTTTCTTTTTTCCTGTTAATTTGTGCTAATTTTCCGAATGATAGTCAGGTCCCAGATGGAGTTGAGAACAAGTGGAATATATACATGGCAAAATCAAGTCCTCCCCATGTATTTAAAGCTTATGCAAAGCAATTTCAGGAGGACTTCTCATTGTTTTTAAGAATGCGATCAGAAGAAATAAAACCTCGAGGGCATATGGTCCTTACCTTAATGGGTAGGAGAAACCCAGACCCTTCCACCGAGTTTTATGGTTGGGAATTGCTAGCAACATCACTTTGTGAGTTGGTGGAAGAGGTTATTTTCTTTCCATTCCCAACCTACTTAATTATTTTCATATTTATTTTCCTTTTGTATGTTAATTGATATTTTTCGTTGTAGGGACTTGTGAAAGAGGCTGATTTGGATTCATTCAACCTTCCTCTGTACACACCCTATAAGGAAGAAGTAAGGGAGATTATTCAAGAGGAGGGATCCTTCGAACTTGACAGGCTAGAAGTTTTCGAAGTCAATTGGGACACAAAAGAAGATACCAACAACAATGGCTCTGTGTTGGACAAGTATGAAAGGGGGCAAAAGCTTGCAAATATTACAAGAGCTGTTACAGAGCACTTGCTTGCTTGTCATTTTGGAGATGCTATAATTGATAGGTTATTTACAAGGTTAGCACTACATGAGGCAGAGAATCTTGATTCCAATGATGAAAAGGTGGTTAATTTTGTGGTTTCAATGACAAAGAAGTAGACAGCAAATATTCATATGCTTTAGCTTTAGTTTGAAAAGGCAACTCTACTGTATTATCTACCTGAATACCTTATAGAATTAAGTTAGCTCTGTTGAACGTATTAAGATTTAATATTGTTAGATATTATAACAGTTCTAATATTACTTGTTAAAAAATCAACACTTACATATAACACTCATACACAAAATAGCAAGTTTAAATAAAAAATAAAAATATATAAATATATTTATTTCAGTTCAATTTAAAATGATCTATACTTCAAATCCAACTTATTATTAAATAAATTTTTATAACTGTGAGACTTTTAAAATGAAAAAAATCTTCAAAAATTTTTTACTTAAAACTCAACTCAAAATTTAATTACACAATTTTAATAATCTATTCATTTAGTTATTCTCTTGTATCTAACTATATGGTACTATTAAATCAAAACTCAAATATCTTATTTATAAAGATGAAATCTTTATACATTTACTAAACTTTCGATGTGAGATATAAGACAAATTTAAAAATTCTTATAACTTTCAATGTGAGATTTTGAGATTCAAAGTAAGTCTCAACAAATTTTTCTTTGATTTGAATCTCCAAACACTTTAACAATATCTGCAAAGCTAACACGTTTACCTTTCTTTTTGTCTTTTATCATAGAGATCCAAGCAATCGTGTCTTCATCAAGTATGTACAAGTGATTTTTTACTCTATTCTCTTGTAAAATCACACTACCATTCTTATACACTTTCAACCAATCATTACTATTATAATATATATCCCCGATAAGCTAACTCACCCAAAATAATTAAATTGTAACTATAACTTGGTACATTAACTTACGTGACGAAGTATCCTAATAACACCATTGTGAGATCTAAGGCGAATACTTCCAATGCCTTGAATCTGCACTTTTTCGTTATTAGCAACCATAATATCTCTATACTTCACATTCTCATCCAACTCCACAAAGCAATTCCTATCATTATAAACATGAACTGTAACAGCAGAATCTAAAACCCAAAATTTATTACCCTTCAAAGTTTGAGTCTCATCCACACAAGTCATCAAAAAGACATCATCATCAGACACAACAACAACAACAGTATCATTCTTTCTTTCATCTGATTTCTTCTTATCATTATCCTTTTGAAAGCAACCATATCCCTTTTCAACTTCCTGCAACGCACTTGGATATATTCATTTTCACCATAATAATAACATTTTATGTCACTGTAATCTATATCTCTTAACTTAGATCTCTTTCTTGATCCATTAATTCTCTTTTGAGTCCTTCTTTGATCAAAACTCTCTACAACTGTGTACTCTCCTCAGGTGATGAGTATTAAGCTCTCATAAATCTTTTGTTCTCACGCAATAGGGCAATCACATCATCCAACTTCAAAGTAGACCTACCTACCAACAAATTCTGAACTAAAGGCCTATAAGACTTGGGCAAAGATGACAGCAAAATTGAAGCATTCTCTTCATCTTTTAACTCATCAATATAAATTGCCAACAATTGAGAAACCAATCGATTAAACTCATTCAGATGATTATGAAGACTCATACCTTCTTCCATCTTCAGAGAATACAGATCCATCTTTAAACATAATCTGTTAGTCAACGACTTCGAAGCATAAATATCCTCAAGCTTATCTCACAAACTCTTCGGAGTACTCTTAGTCAATACACTATACTTTACTTCTAGAGCTAACGTCCAATCTAATAGTACTAACAATTTTCTTCTGAATCATATTTCAACTAGCGTCAGATATTCCCTCAGGCTTACTACTCTCTAATGTCGGATTTAACTCTTGTTGTACTAACAGATCTTAAATCGTACTTTATTATAACATAAAATTACTCTTTCCATCAAATAATAGAATCTCAAACTTAGGTATAAGCATACTAGACATACCCTTTTCAGATATCTTCAAACACTGCTTCACGATCTCTTGGGCCCACGAACCGTAAATCTCGAATCTCGCTTTTATACCACTTATTAGGTATTATCACAGTTCTGATCCACTTATTAAGAAATCAACACACACACGTAATACCCACACACAAAATAACAAGCTTAAATAAAAAATAAAAATACACAAATATATTTGTTTTAACGTACCTCAAAATTACCTACTTCAAATTCAATCTCCTAACAAATAAATATTTACAACTGTGAAACTTTTAGAATAAAAAAAGTTTAAAAAAATTTTTTATTCAAAACTTAATCTAAAATCCAATTACACCATTTTAATAGATATTCACATAACTATTATCTTGATGTCTAATTATCTAGCCCTATTGAATCAAAATTAAAATATCATATTTATAAAAATAAAATTTTTTATATTTTTACTAAATTTTTTATGTGAAATATAAGATAAATGTAAAAATTCTTATAACTTTTAATATAAAATTTTGAGATTTCAAAATAAATCTCAGCAAATGTGTGTTTGGAGCTCTCTTAGATTAATAATTATCAAAGTTTCGAAATACAAAAGCATTCCTTGAGGTCTAAAAAAATATACTTTGATCTTCAGAACAGAATATCTGGCTCCTCCACTTATAGCTACAAGTCTACAAACATCCCTCTTTGTCTTAAAGTATATCTCAAGAATTAGACCAAAAAAAAAGTTAAAATAAATATCTAATTTAATTTAATTTATTTGTGTAATTAACGTCACGTAATTTCTTTACTGTTTTGAAGCAAAATCAGCTGCAGGCTGTACCAATTTAAAAATAGAAAGAGAAAAATTGAAACAAAAAAAAAAAAATGTTTCATGCCTTGTTGCCTTTTCTTTTTGCCTGGATAAATAAAATTTTTTTCATCCAAAGAAGCAAGCTGCCATAAAATGAACAAAAAACTGCAAAGAGCAGTAAAATAGTCTTTACATATATAGCGAAAACCACCATGAACAAAAGCAGAAGTTAAACGAACTTTTCCTCCTCTGTACCCGGCCAGTATTGATATATCATCCTGTTGATCCTATCACTTGCAATCTACTGGAATCTATGAAGTCCTCGTCTGACTACTTTAATGTGATTTAAAAAAACAAGAGCAGTACTGGCCTTCGCACCATGAAACTTGCTGCTATTTGTCCCATCCCGATAAAGTAAAAGATAGGCCCCAATCCTGTCTTATCACTATGCTGCAATTAAAGGCTACCCCTTATGCCCGTCGTACCCAGTTGAATTCACTACACCAATCTCCAACCTTTTTCTGTATCCCACAAAGCTGAAGACCTTCCTCGTAAGTCTAGAGTACTAATCGCCTCAAAATATATTAAAAAAAAAGAAATAAAAAATGAATAAATGATAGTTTAGCAGTAGCAACAGCAAGCTAGAAACTGAGCTACCGTCCTCATTCTGACATTTTTCAGCCAAAATTATTAATTATAAGGGAAATTAGTAGAAAATAAATTAGAAAATTCGGGAAATTAATAAAAGATTAATTTTTATTTATTCATACATAAAGATGCATAAAATGTAGTAATATTTATAGGAGACAATACATAGGTTGACCCTAAAAACATCTGAAAGGTAAAATATATATATCATCTATTATTTATTTACATATAGAATTATGTATTTCAAAAATATTAATAGTTATCTATACAAAAACTTTAATAAATTTTTAAATTAACAAATTTATCTTTAAATATATATAATTTTTATTGATTTAAATAAACTAGAATTAAAAATAAATTTTATATGAAATTAATTTTTTTAAAATTTTAAAATTTTAATTCCCAAAATATTAAAAGTGATTCACTAAAATATTCTTAGTTATTTTTTTATATATTTTAATTTTAATTTATATATATACTAATTTTGACATGTATGACATATATATAATTTGTCTTTAAAAATTTATTTCTATAAATAATTTTTATATTATAATAATGATATATATTAATAATTTAATTTTTATTTTGTTATAATATAAGTAAATTTTAATAATTTTTATATAATTTTGATTTTGATAGTTTTTTTATAAAATTTTGGCAACTTTTGACACAATTTTAATAACTTATGGTATAATTTTGATAATTATTGATATAATTATTGATAATTTTTTATAAAATTTTAATAAACTCTTGATGTAATTTTAGTAACTTTTCGGAAACTTATGATATATTTTTAATAATTATTGATAAAATTTATATAATATATTTAACAAAGAATTTTTGTAAGAAAGTACAATCTAATTCTAGTATAAAATAATTTTTTTTTATATAATAATATTATTGTTCACTCAAATTTAGAATTTTTTTGTTAAAATTTTTTATTTAATATGTTTATGATAGCTTCATCCTAGTTTCTCAAGCTAAAATTTCTAACTTCATTTTTTGTTAGTAAAATATTAAATTCTTAACAACTTTAAGTATAAAAAAATTATCAATGATCAACAATTAAGTTATTATTAATTTACTATTATGTTATCAACGATTTATTATTAAGCTATCTATGATATACTATTAAATTACCAATAATTGACAACTAAATTAACATTGACTCACTACTAATATATTAATGATTTACTATTAAGTTATTATTGATTTGCTACTAAATTATTAATGATTTATTATTAAGTTACTAAGTATTTATTATAAAGTTATAATTGATTTATTATTAATTTACTGATGATTTACTATAAAGTTATCAATAATTAACTAATTTGTGATTTATAACTAAATTATTAGTTATTTGCTGCTAAATTGTCATTAATTTACATCTAAATTTCAATGATTTACTATTATATTTTCTACATTTACTACTATGTTATATTAATTTACTACTTAGTTTTCGATTATTTACTATTACTACTATGTTATATTAATTTACTACTTAGTTTTTGATTATTTACTATGAAATCATCATAGATTTATTATTAAATTAATCATGATTCATTATCAAATTATTACTGATTTATAATAAATTATCCATGATTTACAATTAAGTTATCATTACTTAACTATTAAGTTCTCGATGATTAAATATTACTAAGTTATATTGATTTATTTTTAAGTTTCCAACGATTAACTACTAAATTATTATTGACTTATTACTAAGCTATTTTTTATTTACTATTAAGTTTATCAATT